CAAATGTACGTTTGCCGCTTCGAGCGTCGAATACCTTGGCCATATTGTCTCCGCTGAAGGCATCCGTATGGACCCCTCAAAGGTCACAGCCCTCGTCGAGTACCCCCCACCCAAGACCCTCCTCCAACTCCGTTTCTTCCTTGGCCTTGCCAACTATTACCGCCCGTTCATTCGCAACTTTTCCGTGATCTCTTACCCTCTCCACGAACTCACCCGCAAGGACGAGCCTTTCCATTGGAACGATCGCCGCCAACAAGCTTTCGACTTACTCAAGCAAACCATCACCACGACCCCTGTCCTCAAGATCGCCGACCCCACTCGCCTCCTCGCCGTTATTCACGCCCTCACAGTCTGGCGCCCGTACCTCGACGGGCAATACTTCACCATCCGCAYTGACAACACCATCGTCTCCTCCATCCTCTCCAAGAAAGATATCACTCCACGCCAAGCCCGCTGGGTAGACTTCCTTGCCCAGTTCACATTCACCACTTGCCATACCCCCGGCAAAAGCAACCTCGTTGCCGATGCCCTCTCGCGACGACCCGACCACAAGCCCCCCGAGAAAGTCTACGCCACCATGACTCATATTCAACTCCTTCCATCGCTTCATCATCGATACACCCAAGTCTATCTCTCCTGCTCAGACTTCGCCACCATTTACAACAAGCTCCGCGATCTTGACTCAGTTCCCGACTACTCCCTTCACAACAATCTCCTCTACATCGATACCAAAGGCACTCGCCGACTTTGCATCCCCGACGCACGAGGCCTCCGTACTCAGCTCTTGGCCGAGCACCACGACGCCAAGACCGCAGGACATCTCGGTTTCCAGAAGACCTTCGACACCATCTCCCGCTACTTCTACTGGCCTTCCCTACTCGCCGACGTTAAGGCATACATTCGCTCGTGTCCCACGTGTCAAGCTGTCAACCCCTCCAACCGGGCCAAACCCGACAATCTCCAATCATTGCCCATCCCAACTAACCGGTGGCAGTCCATCTCCATGGACTTCGTGTGCGGCCTTCCCAAGACTGACCGCGGGCATGATTGCATCTACGTCATTRYCTGCCGCTTGACCAAACGTGCCCACTTCATCCCTTGCACGACCTCGCACAGTGCCAAAGACGTCGCCACACTCTTCTTCGACCATGTTGCTCGCCATCACGGCCTCCCTGAGAACATCATCAGTGACCGTGATCCTCGCTTCCTCTCACAATTMTGGAAACACCTCTTCACGGCCTACGGAACCACGCTCAAGTATAGCACTGCATTC